AATAATTTCTTCATTCTCATTATTGTATAGTATTCTAGTACATGAATATTTATACATTTTGCAGTTGATGGATATTTGGGTTGATTCCATATTGGAACACAAATAGTGCTGCTCTGAGCATTGTTTTAAGATGCCTTTTGGTGGACACATAGACATATATCATAGTAATAAGCTTGTTTTGTCATAGGAGTGGCAAATAATTCAACTTTATTAAATATTGCCAAACAGTTTTCAAATTGCGTGTACTAGTTTATATTCCCACCATCAGTGTATGAAAGTTGTGTTTTTTTTTAAAGTCATTGAATTCATTACAATATTGCTCCTGTTTTCTGATTTTGGTTTTTGGCCGGGAGGCATGTGGGATCTTAGCTCCCCGACTGGAGAGGACTGAAACCCTCCCATGCGCACCCCCCACACCCCTCCCCCTGCAAGGTGAAATCCCAACCACCGGATCACCAGGGAAGTCCCTGTATGATAGCTTCTTACCAGAACTTGTTCTTACCAACACTTTTTATTTTAGCTCTTCTGACAGGTATATAGTGGTTTTGCATTTTAATGTTATTTATTTATTTTTGGCTGTGCTGCCAGGCTTGTGGGATCTTTGTTCCCTGACCAGGGTTCAAATTCAGGCCCTTGACAGTGAGAGTGCACAGTCCTAAGCACTGGACTACCAGGGCATTACCACATTTTGGTTTTGATATGTATTTCATCATGATTAATTAAGTTGGATACATATTTTATGTGGCAGTTTGATACTTTTGAATTACAGTACCTGTGATTAGGTTCTTTCCAGAAGAGAGGGATTATTGTTTCAAGTAATAAAGAAGCACTGTCTATAGTTTTTTCCCCCCAAAGTGAAAATTTAAAGTAGATTCCAATATAGAAAGCAAATTAAAAGAAGTACTTCTTGAGAGGCAGAATGCCATGATAAATAAAGGAAGATTCTGGACCTAGTCTCATCCATTAGGAGTTGTAATTCTGCCATTTACCAGTTTTGTGAATTTGGGCAAGTTACTTAACCGCTATTTATTTACTTCAGTTTTCTTATCCCTAAAATGAAATGTAATGAAGTTTCATCATAAAGTTAATGTCAGGGTCAAGTTAGGTTTTTAATATAAAGTACCTAGGACAGTGCATGGTACATGACAAGTACTGTGTAATTCTGGCTGTTAGTGATGGCGATTGATATAAATTTATTTATGAACTTATACAAAGTTAGTTGATGAGAATGAGGCACTACTGTTGTACACAAATTTGAAATGAGGGTTATGGATGATCATTTCAGTTCAGTTGCTCAGTTGTGTCTGACTCTTTGCGACCCCATGGACTGTAGCACACCTGGCTTCCCTGTCCATCACAAACTCCTGGAGCCTACTCAAATTTGTGTCCATTGTGTCAGTGATGCCATTCAACCATCTCATCCTCTGTCATCCCCTTCTCCTCCTGTCTTCAATCTTTCCCAGGATCAGGGTCTTTTCCAGTGAGTCAGTTCTTTGCCTCAGGTGGCCAAAATATTGGAGTTTCAGTTTCAGCATCAGTCCTTCCAATGAATATTCAGGACTGATTTCCTTTAGGATGGACTGGTTGAATCTCCTTGATGTCCATGGGAGTCTCAAGAGTCTTCCCCATCACCACAGTTCAAAAGCATCAATTCTTCGGTGCTTAGCTTTCTTTATAGTCCAACTCTCAGATCCATACATGACTAATGGAAAAACCATAGCTTTGACTAGATGGACCTTTGTTGGTAAAGTAATGTCTCTGCTTTTTAATATGCTGTCTAGGTTGGTCATAACTTTTCTTCCAAGGAGTAAGCGTCTTTTAATTTCATGGCTGCGATCACCATCTGCAGTGATTTTGGACCCCCCAAAAATAAAGTCTGTCACTCTTTCCACTCTTTCCCCATCTATTTGCCATGAAGTGATGGGACTGGATGCCATGGTCTTAGTTTTCTGAATGTTAAGTTTTAAGCCAACTCTTTCACTTTCATCAAGAGGCTCTTTAGTTCTTCTTTGCTTTCTGCCATTAGGGTGATGTCATCTGCGTATCTGAGGTTATTGATATTTCTCCTGGACTTCCCTGGTGTCTCAGATGGTAAAGTGTCTGCCTGCAATGTGGGAGACCTGGGTTCAATCCCTAGGTCGGGAAGATCCCCTGGAGGAGGAAATGGCAACCCACTCTAGTACTCTTGCCTGGAAAATCCCATGGACAGAGAAGCCCGGTAGGTTACAGTCCATAGGGTTGTAAAGATTTGGACACAACTGAGCGACTTCACTTTCTTTCTTTTCTTTTCCCGGCAATCTTGATTCCAGCTTGTGTTTTAAGCCAACTGTTTCACTCTTCTCTTTCATTTTAATCAAGAGCCTCTTTAGTTCTTCTTCATTTTCTGCCATAAGGGTGGTGTCATCTGTGTATCTGAGGTTATTGATATTCCTCCCGGCAACCTTGATTCCAGCTTGTGCTTCATCCAGCCTGGCATTTCGCATGATGTACTCTACATATAAGTTAAATAAGCAGGGTGACAATATATAGTCTTGACGTACTCCTTTTCCTATTTGGAACCAGTCTGTTGTTCCATGTCCGGTTCTAACTGTTGCTTCTTGACCTGCATACAGATAACTCAGGAGGCAGGTCAAGTGGTCTGATGTTCCCATCTCTTGAAGAATTTTCCACAGTTTATTGTGATCCACACATTCAGAAGCTTTGGTGTAGTCAATAAAGCAAAAGTAAGTGTTTTTCTGGGACCTGCTTTTTTGATGGTCTAGCAGATCTCTGATTCCTCTGCCTTTTTCTAAATCCAGCTTGAAGGTTCACAGTTCTTGTACTGTTGAAGCCTGGCTTGGAGAATTTTGAGCATTACTTTGCTAGCGTGTGAGATGAGTGCAATTGTGTGATGGTTTGAACATTCTTTGGCATGCCTTTCTTTGAGATTGGAATGAAAACTGACCTTTTCCATCCTGTGCCACTGCTGAGTTTTCCAAATTTGCTGGCATATCCAGTGCAGCACTTTCATAGCATCATCTTTTAGGATTTGAAATAGCTCAGCTGGAATTCCATCACCTCCACTAGCTTTGTTGTGGTGATGCTTTCTATACCCACTTGACTTTGCCTTCTAGGATTTCTGGCTCTAGGTGAGTGATCACACGATCGTGTTTATCTGGGTCATGAAGATCTTTTTTTGTTTGTCGGGACTATACCATTTCTGTCCTTTATTGTGCCATCTTTGCATGAAATGTTCCTGGTATCTCTGATTTTCTTGAAGAGATCTCTAGTCTTTCCCATTCTATTGTTTTCCTCTGTTTCTTAACATTGATTGTTGAGGAAGGCTTTCTTATCTCTCCTTGCTATTCTTTGCAAGTTTATTTTAGCCTCAGTCTCCAGTTTTTTGTTTTGGTCGCACAATTTGAGGAAAATTTTGATTCATATAGATGAGCAATTAAAGACACTTAGGGTTCAACCAGTAGTTTTAAGATTATGCTTTTAGAACAAGTTAATTGACAAAAAATAGTAGAAAATGTTTATATTGAAATTGTTACTAAATACAATATCTACATTTGGTTGGATTTCTTGTTTTTAAATAAAAATCACAGAAGCTGCATTAAAACTTATTATGGCTTCAGTATGCGTTGTGTTATCACAGAACAGCTGCCTTACAGATTTGCTTTTTATTGCTTTCAGCCACAAGATGAGATGAACAGCTCATGTCCTCAGGCCTTCCCTGACCCGATGAAGTGTGACTCTATGGCTACTGTAGTGTGTGTACTTATTGTTGCAAATTTAATGAGCCAACACATAGGCTTGATTAAAAACAAATTGAAAGTCAGAGCTACACTTTTCCTAATTCATGGCATATTTTCAAGGTAGTCAAATAAAGGTGAACAGTAGAGCTACACAAATAAAAAACCTGAGTTTACTAGTCAGCACAAGTTATGTGTTATGTGGTGTCTGGCATGTTAATATTAGGCATATAAAAACATTCATGTATATGCTGTTATCGTTCATAGTAGTTAACTCTTAGAGCCAGCTGATGCAGTCACCAGCTGTCTCTTATAAACCATCTTGCATGTTTGTAGCTGGCTGACCCTTATACCAAGAGAACATTTCCAACTATACTCATGCTTTCAGACTAACGTGAGTATCTTGACAAACCCCTTAAGCACCACTTTAGCACCAGCTTTACTTCCCACCAGCAGAGTGTCTCCCACTGCTCCTTAATCAGCCTGAGCTCCTCCAGACTGGCCAGTTTCTCCTCTGGCTTGCCAGTTCCACGGTTTTGTGTTCCCTTCTCTGTGGTAGCAGTACTTGCCTGCTACAGTCCCATTACTATCTATCTTGAGTACTGTAATTTCTTCCTGGTCCTGCTTAGATTCCATTTTCTCTCAGAATCATTTCTCTCTGATACCATTCTTTTCTCTGAAATCCTGTCCTGACACTGTATCTCGGGACCTAAAATTTATTTTTAAAATATCAAGTTGTGCTCTATCCCAACTTAGTGCCACTCACAAACTCCATCAGCAGAGGGAGCTAAATACAAGAAGATGAGTCCCTGAAATTAAGACCTGAAGTTAAAGAAAGTGCTGATAAAAATAGTAACATGTTCACATACTGCTCAGTAGTGAAAAAGAGGCAGAATACTATTAGAAATCAGTGGTTTGGGGTTAGGCTCAGGTTAAGACTTCTGTGAGGAGATTTGTATAATCTTTTTCAAAGAGGTAATTCTGTATCATGTTAAAAACCTACTTAGATAAGGATGTTTATTACGTAAGCATATTGGGAGAAGCAGTAAGATGTTTAGTCTTTTTGAAAATATTCTGTTTATTCCCTCTCCAAAAATTTGATTAAGGACATGAAGCAAGGTCACTAGCCTTGTGAAGAATTTCATATGGAGTAACGAGGCTTGAAGTTACCAAGGATTATGGATAACCCATTCCAAGTTTTAAAGATAGAATTTTCAAGTAAATTTTTTATTTGGTTTTGATTAAGTGTATGTATCTTACTTTCAGTTAGCAGACTTGAAGAAAGAGAAGCAGAACTGAAGAAAGAATATAATGCCTTGCATCAGAGACACACTGAGGTGGGTTTCTAGGTTGGTTCTTACCATACTAGCATTAAGATAAAGAAATTAACAGTAGAAAATATGTTTTAATTTTTCTTTAAAATCAGCCAGTATTATCCTTGGGGGTTATTATTCACGAAGACTTTAAATTTCATGTAGCATTCACTTAGTTACCAAATGCTGACTTTAATGTCTTTTATCTGGAGTTAACTTTTCATGCTATGAATAATGTAATTATTAAGGCATTTCCAATAGTTATGTTTTTGACTGGTTGAGTAAAAACTTAACTTGTACGTATTAAAAAGTATACGTGATACTAATATGAGAGAATTGATATAACTTATTTTGATACCTGTTGGGAAATGGTGCATTGTTAAATTGTTGGTCAGAGTCTATACAGTTTTAATACAGTGTAAAGTACTTAATTTGAATTAAGCTCATAACAAATGACAAACAAATTATAATGTCTTAAAAGGACTCTAAAATGTTTTCTGCATGAAGTTTCAGTGTTTTAGATTAACAACTCTAGCACATAACCTCTTCAAAGCAAGTTAGAAAATGTACTTGAGGGTTTTTTAAACTCCTTTTTACGATTCTTTGTCAACCTTTCCTGTGTTGCCTTTGTTTCTTTCTGTCTCCTTCATGTGAAAATTGTGAACTGGAGTTCACATACTTAAATAGAATTTTCATAGACACATGCACTGTTACATGAAAAAAATAATTGCTCTCTTTCTAGTCCAATCTTTCCCATGATACAGATGGTTACAGTCTTTAGCTTCCATTTTCCTTTCAGTATTGGGGGTCATCTCTTATCCTGCCTCCAGTAGGGACCTATATTGTTGCTTTTAAGTAATATAAAACTCCACTGCAGTCAGTTTCATTTGTTTTTGAGAGTAATGTGCTTTTAACACCTTCCACACCTTGTTGGAATTTCTTCCTGGCATGTGAGGTTTATTACTGTTTTAGCTAACATAGCCATGTACCAAGCATGAAGTGTCACGGAATTTGAGTGGTAAAGGAAAAAGATTGGCCACAGAGGGCTGGAACCGTAGAGCTCTGTGAAAACAGAAACAACTTAGAACAAACAACAGCCTTTTCAGTATGAAAAAATAACCAAATTTTAATAAGATGATATTTGGTACATATTAAGACTGTTAAAAAACAATTGGTTGTTAAAGGTTTATTGTTTGTTCTTTTCACACCATTCATTTCATGCCCCAACAGTGCCCTGTACTGGTAGTTCTTATCAATGCTGATAATTACAAACAGGTTTGGAGGAATAGGTTTATGTGCCATAAATAATTGATAGTGATGAATAATGAATTATGTTTTTTTAATTGAAGATTTTCATTAACCTTTGTAATAATTGAGGATTGTTAAATTGAAATATGTCTAAAATATATGCTGTCTTGAAAAAGTCATTGTAAAGTGAAATTTCATATTTTCTCTCATATATGTACATATTTTTTATATTTCTGTTCTTTCAGAGAAGAACAGTCTAAAAGAAAAAAAGAAGGATCTCAGGAAAATCTTAAATACCAAGGCCTGTCTAATAACTGTGACGGATCTTACATGTAGCATTTTCACAGGATCCCCTCCTTCAGTCATAAGCAGCTTCTGTCCTGTGATAGGCTCTCTGTAGTTGGCTCTGCCTCGAGGAATGTTTATATGACGCAGAATGGCTTCTTTAAAATGTGTTTGTGTGTTTTTACATCTGTACTAGAAACACCATTCAATTAGCAATTATAAATTGCTCTCCAGTGCTAAAGAACTAGGTCCTTTGAAGGTGATTTTGAAAACCTTCAGGGGAAGGAAGTCTGGAGGGTGTAATCTTTCCACTGTCACTTCTAACTCAGTAACCTTTTTTATAGGTACACAGAAAAGCACTTTTATCAAACACGTTTCATCTCGGGCTTGTTTCATAATATGAGTAACTGCTCTCTAATCAAATTCAGAATTTTATACACATTATTGAATTTGCTTAAAAGGACAGTGGAGGAAATATTCATACTCATTAATCACTCAAAACTTCAACCCTTGTCTTACTCCAGGCAGTATTTAAATGTATTCTCATCTTATCCTCTGAGCAAACTCTTTATCACCCACCACCATTTTACAAACTGAAACTTAAAAGAAAATATGGAGTGATTTGTCCCAAATGCTATGCTAGTATGTGACTGGATTTGAATCTAGGTCTCTCTGATTTCCTTTTCCTGAATTTTCGGTGCTTTTAAGTTATGAAACACATGGATGTTAAATGCACTAGAAAATTGTCTCTTTGTTTCATGGTGTCTCAACCATTTTAAGAATTGTGGCCTTGTGGATATACTTACTGAGCTGCATATGGAAAGATTAAAGGCCAACAGAATTAAAAGGATTCATGCTATTTGTCTCCAAAATCTCTCTTTTTTGCCTTGTTTTTCTAATAACTGTTGTCTTGCATTTCAGTTTTAGCCACAGCTAAATCAACCTCCGCTGAGAAGATTTCTCTAGGTGGTAGGGGAATTGGGATGTTCTAAACAATGTGCTTGGGATCCTTCTCCATGACTTCAGCAACTTGTTGCTGAATTGACTCCTGAATATGTGTGAATTAATGTGCATACCTGAGAAAATTGAGAGTTGCAGTTCTGAGATCAGGAGGGATGGGTCTAGTGGACCCAAAATAGAGTATATAAAATATATTCTATTTTACTTTCGTACCTCTCTTTTCTACCTTGCAGCATTCATTGCCCAATACTCAGTTGGTTTGTTTTGTTTTTAATAAAAAGCAGAGCTCCTCTGTGAAGCCCTGTAATTACAATTTAAATTTTTATGTATGATTTATTTTATCTACTTTTTTGTGCTTATATAGAATATAGTGCTTATATAGAATATACTTCAGACATCAGGCGATGCCTTAGAATGTGGGGTTTTCTTCTGGGTATGAGGAGAAAAGGACAGTGAGCTTACTGCCTGCCTCCAGAATTGACTGAAACAGCACCTAGATATACCACGAGTCTTATAATGCTTAACTGCTCTGATGACTGAGTCAGATGGATCTGAGTTCTGGCCGCAAAGCCAACTAGCTACTGACAGGACACAGTTAATCATTAACTAGCTGGTCAAATTGGACAAGTTATTTTAACCTCCTTAAAATGGAGTTTATCTAGAAAGTCATATTATTGTTGTGAGGATTAATTGAAACAATAGCTCTACATGCATTAGCTGATTTGTAGATGGTGATCAATAAGTATTAGCAGCCATTTTGTTATTGTTCTTTTGTCCTATTAAGTGCCAGTTTAATTGGGTTAAAACCAGTTTCATCATGTAGACCATTTTGGAATGTTAGAATACTGTATCTCCAGTTACTTGGGATCACTTTTTTGGTTGGGAATTGGTTTGGAATTCAACATCTAAATTAAAAATTTTTTAGTTTATTTAAGACAGGAGTCAATCTGTAGAACAGGCTATTTGGGGTAGAACCAATTCTGTATCTTTGCATTTTATTTAACCTTTTTATTTTTCTATATTGAAAAATAGATTATTATAGAAGCAATTTAGGAGAGATTTCTGTTCATTTCAATCCCTAAGGGAACTTAGAGTCTTCATTTGAATGACTCAAATTCATATGGTTATTGTCCATTATTAAAGAATTCAACTTAGATTTTCTAAAATCTTTTGAAAATTTAAATTGATATATTTGGTCTGACCATCACTTTGTTATGCTAGTCTCATTTAAATTTCTTCCTCACTTGAAGTTTTTCCTGATACTAGAAGGAAGCAGCTCAGCATTTCTGCCTCACTGACACAAACACAAAAATTGTATTTCTGCAGAAATGTTGGAAAATTTAAACTTAAAATTATATAAATTTAAAAGCTTTTAAAAATGCTTTCATATACATATCTGTGTGATTATATGTTCATTTTTCTTTGCCTGAAACACTTCTTATTTGGGCTAATTTTAGCTTGGGGGACAGCCTGGTTGATTCTTTTATATTTGATTTGATGGCATTACCCATCTTAATCCATGTATCAGACTTCTTGTTTATCTGAAGTAAATAACACTTTCAAATTGATTTTTTTTTCAAATTGATTTATATACGTCTTAATTTTTGTATATGCTTCCATGCCAAGTGTAAATTTCACAAATACTTACTATTTATTTGGCTACACTGTGCAGCTTGTGGGATCTCACTTAGTTCCTCAACCAGGGATTAAATCCAGGCCACACAGTGAAAACATGGACTCCTAACCACTAGACCACCAGGGAACTCCTGACAAAAGCATACTTCTTAAAAATAAATTTTTAAAACTTGTTTAAATTTTCTTTCAAAAAAAAAACAAAAAATAAATTTTCTTTCAGTAGCTATCCTTTTAATATTGCTGCAATGCATATTTTAAGTTGTTTGAAGTTGAAACCTATCTTCATGCAGCTAAAGTTTAGCAACTTACAAAGCTATTCCATGCTGTAATTTTAAGAATTCTAGGAATATTCTCCTTTTCTTACCTATTCTTGATATTTACATTTCTTTAAATTGTGGAAATGTAAGTTGGTTTAGCCACTGTGGAAAACAGTATGGAGGTTCCTCAAAAACTAAAAACAGAATTATCATATGATCCAGCAATCCCACTTCTGGGAATATATTCAGATAAAACTGTAATTTAAAAAGATACATGCACTCCTATGTTTATAGCAGCACTGGTCACAGTAGCCACAGTATGAACAATATGAAAAGGCAAAAAGATAGGACACTGGAAGATGTCCTTCCCGGGTCGGTAGGTGCTTACTATGCTACTGAAGAAGAGTGGAGAAATAGCTCCAGAAATATTGAAGAGTCTGAGCCAAAGCAAAAACAAAATCCAGTTGTGGATGTGACTGGTGATGGAAGTAAAATCTGATGCTGTACAGAACAATATTGTATAGGAACCTGGAATGTTAGGTCCGTGAATCAAGGTAAATTGGAAGTGGTCAAACAGGAGATGGCAAGAGTGAACATTGACATTTTAGGAATCAGTGAACTAAAATGGGCCAGAATGGGCGAAATTCATTCAGATGACCATTATATCTACTACTGTGGGCAAGAATCCCTTAGAAGAAATGGAGTAGCTCTCATAGTCAATAACGCATAGCCAAAATACAGTACTTGGGTGCAGTCTCAAAAATGACAAAATATTCTGTTTGTTTCTAAGGCAAACCATTCAGTATCATGGTATCCAAGTCTATGCCCTGACCAGTAACGCTGAAGAAGTTGAAGCTGAATGGTTCTATGAAGACCTACAAGACCTAGAACTAACACCAAAAAAAGATGTCCTTTTCATCACTGGGGACTGAAATGCATAAGTAGGAAGTCTAGAGATACCTGGAGTAACAGGCAAGTTTGGCCTTGGAGTACAAAATGAAGCAGGGCAAAGGCTAACACAGAGTTTTGCCAAGAGAACGCACCGATCATAGCAAATACCCTCTTGCAACAATACAAAAGATGACTCTAAACATAGACATCACCAGATGGTCAATACTGAAATCAGATTAATTATATTCCTTGCAGCCAAAGATGGAGAAGCTCTTTACAGTCAGCAAAAACAAGACCAGGAGCTGACTGTGGCTCAGATCATAAACTCCTTGTAGTAAAATTCAGACCTAAATTGAAGAAAGTAGGGAAAACCACTAGAACTTTCAGGTATGACCTAAATCAAATCCCTTATGATTATACAGTGGAAGTGACAAATAGATTCAAAGGATTATATTTGATAGAGTGCCTGAAGAACTATGGATGGATGTTTGTAACATTGCACAGGAAGCAGTGATCAAGACCATCCTCAAGAAAAAGGCAAAATTGTTGTCTGAGGAGGCCTTACAAATAGCTGAGAAAAGAAGAGAAGCAAAAGGCAAAGGAGAAAAGGAAAGATACCCCATCTGAATGCAGAGTTCCAAAGAATAGCAAGGGGAGATAAGAAAGCTTTCCTAAGTGATCAATGCAAAGAAATAGAGGAAAACAACAGAATGGGAAACACTAGAGATCTCTTCAAGAAAATTAGAGATACTAAGGGAACATTTCATGCAAAGATGGGCACAATAAAGGGCAGAAATGGTATGGACCTAACAGAAGCAGAAGATACTAAGACGACGTGACAAGAATACACAGAAGAACTATACAAAAAAGATCTTCATGACTCAGATGACCATGATGGTGTGGTCACTCACCTAGAGCCAGGCATTCTGGAGTGTGAAGTCAAGTGGGCTTTAGGAAGCATCACTGTGAACAAAGCTAGTGGAGATGATGGAATTCTAGTTAAGCTATTTCAAATCCTAAAAGATGATGCTATAAAAGTACTGCATTCAATATGCCAGCCAATTTGGAAAACTCAGCAGTGGCCACCACTAGAAAAGGTCAGTTTTCATTCTATTCCCAAAGAAAGGCAGTGTTCAAACTAAATGTTCAAAATGTTCAAGCTACCACACAATTGCACTCATCTCACATGCTAGCAAAGTGCTGCTCAATATTCTCCAAGCTAAGCTTCAAAACTATGTGATCTGAGAACTTCCAAATGTTTAAGCTGTATTTAGAAAAGGCAGAGGAACCAGGTATCAAATTGCCAGTATCCATTGGATCATAGAAAAAGCAAGAGAATTCTAGAAAAGGATCTATTTCTGCTTCATTGACTATGCTAAAGTCTTTGACTGTGTTGATCACAACAAACTATGGAAAATTCTTCAAGAGATGGGAATACCAGACCACCTTACCTGCCTCCTGAGAAACCTGTATGCAGATCAGCAGTTAGAACTGGACATGGAACAACGAATTGGTTCTAGATTTGGAAAGGCGTTCGTCAAGGCTTTATATTGTCACCCTGCTTATTTAACTTATATGCAGAGTACATCATGAGAAATGCCAGACTGGATGAAGCACAGGTTGGAGTCAAGATTTCTGGATGAAATATCAACAACCTCAGTTAAGCAGATGACACCACCCTTATGGCAGAAAGTGAAGAGGAACTGATGAAAGTGAAAGAGGAGAATGAGTAAAAAGCTGCCTTAAAACCAACATTTTAAAAACTAAGATCATGGCATCTGGATCCATCATGTCATGGCAAATAGAGAAACAATGGAAACAGTGGCAAACTTTCTTTTCTTGGTCTCCAAAATCACTGTGAATGTTAACTGCAGCCATGAAAATAAAAGATGCTTGCTCCTTGGAAAAAAAGCCATGACAAACCTAGGCAGCATATGAAAAAGCAGAGACATTACTTTTCCCACAAAGGTCCACCCAGTCAAAGCTATGTTTTTTCCAGTAGTCATATATGGATGTGAGGGTTGGACCATAGAGAAAGCTGAATGCTGAAGAATTGATGCTTTTGAACTGTGGTGTTGGAGAAGACTCTTAAGAGTCCCTTGAACAGCAGGGAGATCAAACCATTCAGTCCTAAAGGAAATCAGTCCTGAATATTCATTAGAAGGACTGATGCTGAAGCTGAAGCTCCAATACTTGGACCATGTGATGCAAAGAACTGACTCATTGGAAAAGACCCTGATGCTGGGAAAGATTGAAGGCAGGAGGAGAAGGGGATGACAGAGGATGAGATGGTTGGATGGCATCACCAACTCGATGGACATGGGTTTGGGTGGACTCCGGGGGTTGGTGATGGGCAGGGGAGCCTGACGTGCTGCCGTTCATGGGGTCGCAAAGAGTTGGTCGGACACAGCTGAGCGACTGAACTGACATGTTTTAATACCAAGTTTGGGTCTCTTAAAAGTGGAACTATATCAAGAATCAAATCAGGGACTTACTTCCCTGTTGGTCCAGTGACTAAGACTCCATGCTCCCAATGCAGCGGGCCTGAATTTGATCTCTGGTCAGGGAACTAGACCCCACATGCTAAAACTAAGACCCAGTGCAGCCAAAAAAAAAAAAAAGAATCAAATCAGACTGTAGAATTTCTTGACAGGTTTTATGCTTGATATTCTTGAAGTTTTCACTGCCATATTCAGCTTGCGTCTTACGGTTCCTTACTGAAGAGTTAATGTGTTCTGGTTTTCCATTTGCTTCAGTTTGCTGCCATTTTTATATGACTGTATTCAGCAATGATTCCAGTAAGTTAGCGGTCTAACATAGGAGAGAATATTTTAGCATTCTTTGAACTAAATCTGTAGTAAAAATAAATAAATATCCTGGTATTAAATTGAAAATTATCTTTACTCAAGTTTCAAGTTAATTTCTCTGTTGTTTCCCACCTTAGCAAAGGATTTCTCAAGTGCCATCTGTCCCCTTTAATCAGTAATCTCTTGTCAATTCCTTCCCAATGTCTATATCTAATTTGTGTTATTCATGTAAGAATTATTTAATAGCATTACATATTGTAAGAAAATTTTTTTGCTATGTCAAACAAAATGTTGGTTACTTTTCCAGACTCTAGCATCCTTAAATGAAAGCATTTGCATATCCCTTTGAGAATAAAATAAAATTTCATCCTTAATATTCTTTTATATGGAAACATAGGTAGTCCAATAAATAAGAAATTTATATTAAAAGGTTTCCCTTGTTAAAATGTTACACTTTTTTTTCCAGATATTAGTCTTAAAATTTTGTGTATTCTTTTGTTTCTTCAAAATAGATGATCCATAATTATATGGAACACTTAGAAAGAACAAAACTTCATCAGATCTCAGGGAGTGATCAACTAGAATCCACAGCTCATAGTAGAATTAGGTAAGCTTTTTTTATACATTTTTACCTTGGGAAAAAGGAAAATAAAATAATCTGTTTCTGTTTTTCTCTGTTCTTTAATCCTTAGACAATAGTTAGCTTTCTCCCTGCTGTAGTTGGAATGCTATGAGGGGGTAGCTAAGAAAAACAAAACAACTTTCACTAATGAAAAGGTATATTGATAGCCATTGTTTTCTGATACTTGACAAAAATTGTAGTAGGTTTAAAATTTTTATTTGTCAGAATGCTGTAAATTTTTCATTTCTCCTGTATAATTGGTTTAAAAGTCCTTTTTGCTACAGAGAGACATGTTTGAAAGGGTTAGCCAGACTTCTGTTTGATGTAGGAGTGTGAATAAATTATGTAGATCTCCAAGCATTGTAGCCAATGAGCTAAGCCAGGCCTCTTAGTGGGGAGGAAAATAGTTAATAGGCTGGCCTCTGCTCTGGATTGCTGCATAAATGCTAGGAGCAGCAGCTCTATGGTTATGAGGCGGTGAGAGCAGGATGACGTCAGCGCTTCGGAGCTGCAGCAGGATGGAGTGGAAAGCTGCTGCTGATGGCATTGTTTTTGTGGCAGCAGCTGAATGACAGATCCTCACTACAAAGATACCCCTTTGGCCCCTGTGTAGGCCTCCTGGTTCGGGTGTTTCACCATGCCAGCACAGCGCCATGAGTCCTGGATGCATGCTGCTGTTTGTGTTTGGCTTTGTTGGCGGGGCGGTGGTCATTAATTCTGCTATCTTAGTATCTCTCTCCGTTTTGCTGCTTGTGCACTTTTCTATTTCTACCGGAGTGCCAGCTTTGACGCAGAACCTACCAAGGATACTCAGGTACTTCAGTCTCTCTTAGAAGTCCTTTTCTGGTTGGTTTTTCTTTTATGTTTAGCTTTATGGGTCTTCTTTGTAACCATTTATGTTGCAGATTGAAACAATGGAAAATGGCCTGAAGCTAAGACTTCTATTCTTATATATATTTATAGGCTATTGCTTAGGAATACGCTTTGTGTTTGGAAACCACCCACTTAAGAAAAGGATTTTCAGATCGTACTTACACACAAATACAAGGTCAGAGTGGTCTTGTTTTAAGCAGAGGGTTCAACCAGTAAAGGAAAACAGGAGTGGAGCATTGGGTCCAAATTCACACAACCTCTTCATGAGAGCATCTAAGCACTTAGAAGCAAATATCTTTATGATGGGACTTGTAGTTGATTAGACACAGGCCGTAGGTGTTTATTTTGTTCCAATGATCCTTTGACTGTTGGAGGTTCAGGCATCCTTTTTGCAGTTTTTGATAGCAGTTCATGGGAACTGACAATGTAAATATTTTCCTCCTACAGCAAAACATATTTGAAGTGAAAGGATTTAAACCTTTTAGGGCAAGGAATTCATTTTTTCTCCCAGTTATTTATGCATAAAAGTTGGAAAGCTTTACAAAGCCTATTCACTATTGTTTTGTCAGATGTTGCCTTTTCTTTGTAGACTTGGGTAACAGATATCCATGCCTGCTTGTGGGGATATCATTAATCTCTGTAGCTTTTCTTCTGGTCACTGTACTTGCATGCTGCAAGAACCATCTTCTGCATTTTAGAGGTTTAATGTTGTGGTTTCTTTTGTTTTCTAACTCACCAAGATAAAAATTGGATTTGTTGAGATTTCTGCTTCGTGTGTGGTTTTTAAATGAAGGTTCATAATGTATATCTTTTATTATATAAATGTTTACTTAAAACTCAACTCCTAATTGTGGGCTTAAAGAGAAATTAAAGTAGTAAATTCCCTCATCCTCATGTTCAACATTAGTTTAAGATCCAGATGAAATTAAATTTCATCCGTGGTCTTAAAACTTGGCCATTTATTTATTTTTTTCCTGATGTTATAAAAACTGGGAGCAGTCTTATTGCTTTGTGTACATTTTAGTACATAAAGGATTTGTGTGTCTGTATATATAGGCTTTTAGAAAATTGAAACACAAGAACATATAGACTATTAAAGTAAGATTAATTTTAAAGGGATGTCCTAGGTTTCAGTTCCGTCTGTGAAGCCAGTACTGTGCAGTGGATAAGAGGTTCAGAGTTGGACTACCAGGCTACAAATGCTCTGCCACACATGAGCTATGGGACTATTGGCAAATTACTTAATCTCTGTACCTGAGTTTCCTCCTTTGAGCTTCTTACCCCATTGAGTCATTTTAAAAATTATGTGAGATGATTATTTTGTATTTAATCAGCTCAAGATATATTGTAAATTAAACAAGTAAATAATTTTCATAATCATTTATATTTACTCCACTTTTAGTAAAACTATATCAGCTCTAGCTATTTTATTCATAAAATAACTTATGATTAAATTCAAAGAGTTTCTTGATATAAAAGTTGCTGTTGATCTGAATGAAGAAAGATATCAAAGTCTTTAATATTAAGATGGGCCTCCCAGGTGGTGCTAGTGGTAAAGTACCCGCCTGCCAGTGCGGGAGACTTAAGAGAGGTGGGTTCCATCCCTGGGTCAGAAATATCCCCTGGAAGAGGGTGTGGCAATCCAGATCTGGCTGGGGGAATCCCATGGACAGAGAAGACTTATGGGCTACAGTCCATGGGTGCAAAGACTCAAACATGACTGAAGCACAGTTGTCAAGAAGTAATAGTTCCAGGGAATGTACATGGGCCTTGGAGTCAAAACAGGCCTGACTTTGAATCCCATGTCTTCCAATTACTAGTGCCCAAAGTCTCTGAGCATCACTTTTCCTAATCTGAAAACAGGGAAAATAATTCTTACTTCCAAAAAAAAAAAATAATAATAATTCTTACTTCCTTGTGAGGACTAAATGAGGATATGTAAATAAATCATCCATTTCAGTGCTTGCCACATTGGTGGTTGTTGAACAAATGTAATCTTTTTACTGCTTTTTATACATATGTATAGTAGATTTTATTAATGATTATTTGTTTTAAATGGAAATAAAAATATTTAAAGACATATGTGCAAAGTTATTTATGCACATAGGTAACATTTAAATAACCAATTTAAAAATGGATGTATGGCAGTTTAAAAAATAGATGTAATAAGTATTCTGATGGCTGATTCTGATAGCTTTGTTTCTTGACAGTAGTAGCATTATTGAAACACCTAGTGTTTAAATCTGCCACTTGATATTTTCCCACATGTATTTTCATTCTTTGGTTTCTTCTGTGAGTTTTACTGAAGCATTTAATATATAGTTAAATATATAGTTAGTTTATATTTATATATAAATATATAATATATATTTAATATATAGAGTATCAAATATACATACCAATATAGTACAGGACCTAATGTTCTCTTTTCAGGGTTTCCTTTTGAAAATAGGACTCTAATTAACATACATAATTATATGTCCTTCTCCCTCCCTCCCAAGTCAGTAAAAAAAAAGAGGGAAGAGTGGTGTGTAGTGATACTATTTTTCCAGAGTTGAAACAGTATAACCTATAGCATCATTGACCCTCTTGACAGCTGTCAATTTCTGAAGAAAAGTTCTCTCTCTGTAGAGCAGTTTCTGGAGGAAATTAAAAGCAATATAAAGATTTGAATTCTACTCATGTTTTGGACTGTAGATTTTGTAGTTAACAGAAATGGGAAAGTAAAGCTTGAACTCCTAGCTGACTCCTTCCCCAAGTAGTTTTACACTTTTCCAGTATTTGACATGTGTGAAAATGATTGTGTTATCATTCATAAAGGATTATAACTCTCATGACTGGCCTGTGTTTTTATTTCTGTTGGCAGTGTGATAAATTCGAATAAAGTTTGTATTACTTTTCTTTGCATTTGGGATCAGAGAGCTTTCCATTAAATTCCATCTGATTAGATTCTTGATCACTTTTTTGCTTAAGTCATCAAGATATGTTAAAAAGAATAAGTAATCTAGGAAGTCTAAGATCCTTAGATTTTCAGTTCCCAGAATATGTTGCCTGTCCCAAATTTCCGGTCATTGTTACCATCGTTTGATGAAATAAAGGGCGTTTTAAAATCAAGCAGAAAAGATGGGGGAAAGGGGTGAGTCATTCTCAAGAAAGAACAGGTTCTACAATAAGTGGAAACATGTATGTGTATAATGTGTTCTGTATTATCCAGTAAGGATATAATAAATAATGCCTCTTTTTGCTGTGGATTTATGAAAGTTTTTTTTGCTGAACCAGCAGTTGGGAATAACTTGTATAAACAGAATAGCTGACTGCTCTGTTATTTGGTGGTTCTGGCAGGTCATAAAGACAAGCTTAGATTTGGTTTTAAAATGTATCCTTTTATTGTGCTGCCTATGTGTGTTTGAATTTTTCTCCCAAATCAAATAGGAAAAGTACCCCAAGTGTGAAGAAGTGATAATAGTTAACTCTGATAGAGAAAAGTCCTGTTCTGTTTCTTTGTGCTTACAGCTTTAATAGAATACAATCTCTCAACCCTTTTGCTTCCCCTAATCTTTAAGGTGTTTGACAGTTGTGCTAATTCTTCCCGATTGTTATTAGGAATGAAGGCAATGTACCCTTTGTGTTCAATGAAGGCACATTTCACAAGCGGCTTAAAGTTTCTTGGTATAAAGATAAGCTTACAGAATAGAGAGTTGTTTAGCAAAACTGAATATTTCCCAACTTTTATGTATAACCTCAGTGTTCCGGTTCTTACAGTTTTACCAGAAGCTCCAAACCTTTAGTGTCTGGTTTCTAGCGAATTTCCATTTGAGTTAATGACCCAGGAAGAACCAGACTTGCTTCTACTCTTTAAAAACCCTTTGTATTAACAAAGGATGTTCAAGTTCTATTATTAAAATTGAAACGTTTATTCACTGAAATTTCCCACAAAGCATTGGAAACTCTACAGTTTTTGATAGAATCTTTGGGCGTCCTTGTTTGGAAAAACTGACAGTTGTATTGTCATACATACTGTGATGAAAAGGAACTCATACGGAAAAATATGAGTTCCTGTAGAAAAATACGGTTTTCCTACTTTAGGGGATAAAACTCTAGGGGCAACAGAAGCCCAGCCTAAAAGTTGAGAATTATGCTTTACTCAGGGATGTTTCTAAGGATTATAGTCCGCCAGGGCAGCCTCTCAGATAGCTTTGAGGAGCTGTTCCAAACAAGCAAGGGAGGAACTCAGAGACTCAGGAGTTTTTGCTAATTACAAAAGACAAACCTCTCAAGTTAAGGATTTTAGTGCTTTTCTATGCTTGGGAAGATAGAGGAGTCTGGGCTTACTGAAATTATTTCTTTGATATGCATCTTAACCACTTAGGGTCAGTATCCCGTTTTTCTCCATCCTGAATTCCTCTCAGGTCACTTCGTCCAGACTGGCTACAGTGGCTAATGGCCGAATGGCAGACAACATTCTATTCTTTCTTGATTGAAATGGCAGGCAACAATTTTTTGTACATGTTCTTTTGACTATTTAATAAGTAGGCCTGATTTAAACCATGTATTCATTTTCCTCAAGGCAGAAAAAACGTACCCTAAAGAGACTTGGGTAAGTATTTAGGGATTAATATGAGAAATTGGAAAGCCTAGAGAAGCAGGAGTGGGGGTTGTTTGCATTCCCTAGGGCTGACCTAAGCATGAGTGAAACTGTAGCAGCTCCCCTTGCTGTGAAATCACACCATAGACTGCTTCCTGAGTAACTTAAGATTTTCTAAACTATTTTTTTACTACCTTTCTTAATTGATTTCTTGGGGCTTAATTTAAGTTCTGAGACTTCGTCCTTTCTCTTTGGTAAGTCTACTTGTTCAGATAGGCACACAATATTATTTAAGAGTGATGACTCTAAAGCAGTGACAGCCCAGGCTTATTACTTATAGTCATGATGAATAAAACTTAAAAATGAATTAATGCTTAGTTGTTCTGCCCTCTCCAAATAGAAAAGAACGTCCTATATCATTAGGGATTTTCCCTTTACCTTCTGGAGACGGATTGCTTACACCTGACACTCAGAAAGGTGGCGAGACCCCTGGATCAGAACAATGGAAATTTCAGGAATTAAGTCAACCACGTTCTCATACCAGTCTGAAGGTAAGCTTTATCCTATGAAAATCTTCAGTTTGTTTATAAGCTTTCTTATCCAAATTGAAGTGCTAGATAACCAGAAGAGAATAAAATGAAATAGTATGTGTACATTTTATTTTGTAAAACTATGCTTTTTTAAAATTGGAAATGAACTCTTCCCAAAGAGTTTGTTTTGTATTACTCGTTTTTCAAGTTTCATAGGAAAACAGACTCAAGCATTGTTACATCTTGATTGTCATACTAATGACCAACATTTCTATTTCATTTAGGCTGTTTCTATTTGATTTACATTATATGAATTTAGGATGGGGTGATCAGTGAACCTAACTATGTTTTTAAGAATTGAAAATTGATTGTCATACTAATGACCAACATTTCTATTTCATTTAGGCTGTTTCTATTTGATTTACATTATATGAATTTAGGATGGGGTGATCAGTGAACCTAACTATGTTTTTAAGAATTGAAAATCATTGCCACCTGAAATCCTTGGTTCACCGCTGGGAAGCTTCACAATTTAATAGCTTCACAATTTACTTTAAAAAAACAAAAGGAAACGGCAATCCAAGTGTTCTTGCCTGGAAAATCCCATGGATAGCGGAGCCTGGCAGGCTGCATTCTGTGGGGTCAGTAGCGAAGAGTCAGACACAGCTGGGTGACAGTGTAACAATTTCCTCGAAATCTTCATAAACCAATATCCAAAAGTGCAGTGTGTTTAGCTGAAAAGGCCTGGTGTTAGTTCATTATAAATTATATTCTTGACCAAGAACTTGTTACAAAATAAGTTGTAAATATAAATATAGTATATTCTAAGAGTGGAGATATATACTAATAATTAAAAATATTTGAAGTTATAGTCTATTTCTTATAAACTGGAATATTTATAAAGGGAACTGATTATAAAGGAACCTTGTTATGTTAGAAAATCTACTCTGTCATAAAACAAACAGACCACCTAAATGAATACAGTTGAGTTACTTACATCTTTATCTCTTTTTTTCTGGTCTCTTTCTCCAAATTACTTATCATGGTTTAAATATTCAGGTAACTCTTTTAAAAAAAAAATTTTTTTTTTAAATTTATTTGGCTGCACTGAGTCTTAGTTGTGACATACGGGATATTTAGTTGTGTCATGTGGGTCTAGTTTGCTGAGAATAAACCCAAGCCCCCTGCACTGGAAGCTCAGATTCTTAGCCACTGGAGCACCAGGGAAGTCCCCTTAGATTGCTCTTATGATACCTCTAAAATATGAAGTCATTTACTTATTTATTTTGTTTCTCTCCACCAAGATTGTAAAATCCATGCAGTTTATTTACTGCCATGTCCCTAGCACTTAGAAAAGGTGCCTAGCACATAGTTGTCTCTCAGAATATGTTTGTCAAATGAATTATTTGTTTTAGATGTTAGAAAGATTCTTTTGACATAATGTAAATGGTCTGTTTCTCAGCTCTAGTAGGTAGAGGCATTTAGAATCATTTCATTGACCTTTGAAATGTACTCAAAACAGTAAGAAGTAAATAAATATTTCATAGCTTTGCTCCTACTGCAAAGTATTTTTAACAGTAGGCCTACCCTCACATTTTTTCCATTCTCTGACAAGTCCTGTCCTCCCTAGAGATACTAAGGTAGGTATTCCTAAGAGGTTTTTAAAATAAAATCCAGTCTGTTTCTACTGTGGACATGGAGCCAGTAAATGAGATAAAGACTTAACAGGACTTCCCCTGGTGGTCCCAGTGGTTAAGAATCCACCAGCCAATGCAGGGGAAATGGATTAGACTCCTGGTTTGGGAAGATTCCACATGCTGTGGCAGCTAAGCCTGTGTACCACAACTACTGGAGGCAATGCGCCACAACTACTGAAGGCTGTGCGCCCTAGAGTCCATGCTCCACAAAAAGAGAAGCCACCACAATGAGAACCCTTGCACACCACAGTTAGAGAGGAGCCCCTGCTTGCTGCAATGAGAGAAAGCCCACGTGTAGCAACAAAGACCCAATGCAGCCACTCCCCCCGCCCCAAAAGGGATAAGTTTGTGAAATATGTCTCATAATCAGGACATATTTTACTATTTACTTAAGTCTTTGTTATTAGTCAGATGTCTTTCTCTAACTTTGCAAAAGCCTGGGAGTTGGGTTTAGAGTTCACATGTGGATTGCATTGAAGAAACACACTAGTCTTGGTTTCCACGTCTGACAGAAGTTGGACTAGATCGTCTCTATTGTAATGTGTTTTTCAACTTTCATTTCTCTAAGAACTTTGAGGATGACCTAGCTCTATTAAGAGTATGCTCATAATATGAATTTTACTAGCACTTTTTTGTGTGTGTGTGAAATAAGGTTAAGGTGAAATGTGTGAGAAAACCAGGGAAACTATGGCAGAAGAATGACAGGAAAGGAGATTTGCCTGTGATTATAAATTTATGGACCTTTTTTGTTGCTTTATTGCAGATTTCTCACTGAGAGAGAGTTGTAGTCAGCAAGGTTATATCTTCAGGTATACTATACCATTTAATATAAGGAACTTGAGCATCTGTAGATTTTGGTATCCACAGGGAGTTCTGGAACAATCCCCTGCAGATAACAAGGGATAACTGTAATGGAATATCTGCCAGGACTGGTGCACCTGGAAAAATGTACATGTTGTTCTTAAAAAACTTAAAAAGAAGTATTTGTACATATTTATTCCTTTGTTTATTGTATTCTTGTTGAGAAAATCAACAAAGAAACAAATAAATGAAAGCATGGAATTTCAAGTAGTGTTACGTACTGTTTTTATAAAACAAAGTAAGGGGCCAGAGAATAGTAGTAAGAAGGGGTAGTTAAGGAGTTTCTCTTTGAAGTGGTGACTGTGCCCTGAGAAGAAGATGCCCAGGCACATGGAAGGGTCCAGAGGAATATGTGCTTCAGAATGGCCAGGTAGCATCTGTAAAGGCCTCAAGGTGGGGACAGACCTTAGCATGTTGGAAGAGTGTGGTTTTTTTTTTTTTCTGTTCATCCTATTCCTCTGAGACTTTAATTCTACCTACTGCACCAGTGTGCCTTTTTTTACGATCATCCAAAATATCCATCTTTCCAAATATGGAAAATTCCCATTCCCTTGCTACATTGTAGCAGCACTTGATACATTTGAATACTCTATTCTTCTTGAAGTGGTTTTTTTCACTTTGCTCGAGGAAACTTCTCCCCACCCCCTCCCCACTCCCCCCAACCCCCTAGTCTCTGGTATTCTTCACAGGTCCTTTTCCTTTGCTGGTTTTGGACATCTAAATGTTGGCGTTCTCTAGAGCTTAATCTACTTAATCTCTGCTCTACTTAATCTAGGTAACTCAAGTTTCATGTCTGTAAATACCATCCACCCATCAGCTTTCACAAATCTTTTTTTTTTTTTTTTTAGCTTTCACAAATCTTAATCTCTGACCTTGATCCCTTTCCCGAACTCCACACTTTTGCATCCAGTTGCTTTTCTTTATAGTTTTCCCACATACGCATTTGTATCCTGCTTAGGTTACCACCAGTAGAAGTACTCTGTCAAGGCCAGTCTAAATGCCACAGCTTACATTGAAGCTTCACCTGACACCTTTTCGATGGTCCTCAAATCTAGTTTAGAGATCAGTTTAAAGCTGAAAGCAGAAGATTATTATACTGTATCACTAACAGAAATTTTTTTATTGGGGGGCTTCTAGTGAAATTGGTAAAAAGGAACTTCTTATGTTAACTGACATTTTCTGTTGAAAATGTATTATAAAAATGCTAAGGCTGGGGGCTTCCCTGGTGGCTTAGTGGTTCAGGCCTAATTGGAGATGTAGATGGAGGAGCAGATATACTAGGTATGATAGTTTATCTGAAGTAGTACAATACTGTTTTTAAAATAGACTTTTAAAATGACTTAACCAAACATTTCTTTAAAATGAACTGGGACTTCCCTGGTGGCTCAGTGGTAGCCTGCCAATGCAGGTGACACGGGTCTGGTCCCTGAGCTGGGGAGATGCCACGTGCTGTGGAGCATCTAAGCCTGTGCGCCACAACTGCTGAGCCTGTGCTCTAGAGCCCAGGAACCATAACTGCTGAGCCCACGTGCCGCAGCTACTGATGCCCTTGCCCCCTAGAGTCCGTGCTCTACCACGAGAGACGCCACCACAATGAGAATCCTGCGCACTGAAACTGGAGGGTAGCCCTTGCTTGCTGTAACTGGAGAAAAGCCCAGATAGCTGTGAAGACTCAGCAGAGCCCCAAAATAATAAATAAATAAAAGTTAAAAAGCTAAGGCTGAAAATGGTCAAAAATGTTAGGGTAAGGTTGTTTCTCCGACTGAATTATATTCACAAAAAAAGGAAATAGTATGCAGGTTACTCAAGAAGTAAGTAGTTGTGGTTGGAGGAAAGCAAAAGGATATCTTGAGTTACCAGGGTAAAGGGAAAGTACTCTTAGAGTGGGACATTCACGGTGATGGTTGATCAGGGCTCCGTCACTTAAACAGGCTTCTTGCTATAGGGTTGATGGCCAGTCCCAGTGTCTGAGTGATTTCCTGGGTCCAGCAAAGGGATCAGATTTCCAGACTCATTTTCCCACTCTACCTTCATTGGCCAAGCAGCTGCCAAGAACAGAGGCCACCTCTCCTAATACCTGGCAAAACAAAGGCAGTATTGCCTCACAAATTGATTGCTTCTCTGAGGTACCCACCAGTGTATTTGGGGAGAAGCTTCGAGAACAAGTTGAGGAGGGACTGTCCTTCTATGTGTAGGAGATTGAAGAGATTCCACAAAAGAAATCTGCATGTCATGAAGGAGGCAATGATTCAGGCAGATGAAGTAGCTGCTGAGATTACTAAGAAGCTGGAGAAACAGAAGAAACCCTTGAATAAGGAAAAGAAAAGGCTGGCTGCGGTTGCCCTGGCATCTTCAGAAGGCAGTAGTGCCCCGGAGGAATGAGGAGACAAGTAAAAAACCCCAAAAGAAGAAAAAGCAAACGCCTGGGGAGGCTCCCCGGGAGAATGGAGTGGAAGACCCATC